ATTATTAAATTTTAGTTTAGGCAGCCCTCGAACAAATTCTCCTTGAACTAACCGTTGCAAAACACTCATACTAGCATGACTTAGTCTCCTATGCCATAACCAACTATCATGCTCATCCTTAGCAACTAGGCATAAATTAGTCATATCTATAGAGTCTAAATGCACCATGTAAATGTTTCCTATTCTATGACCAACAAGCATAATCCGATTAGATGTCATGTCAATGACTTTACAACCATTAGTTTCAAACATGACATTGAATCCCTTATCACATAATTGACTAATACTCAAGAGATTATGCTTTAATCCATTCACATATAAAACATTCTTAATTTGTATGGAAGAGGTATTACCTATTGTACCTATACCTTCAATATGACCTTTTGAATTATCACCAAAAGTCATTTCTCCTCCATTTTTGGCGTTAAGCTCTATGAACCGGTTTTTGTCTCCGGTAATGTGTCTTGAGCATCCACTATAAAGGTACCATGAGTTTAAATTTGTTTCTCGTGCCTTGTAGAAATGCTCCTTTTCCTACAAACATAGATTACTTTCTAATTTTTGGTACCCAAATTCTTTTGGGACCATATTCATTAGTTTCCAAAATCCTAGTCCCTTAGTTATCCATTTGTGTAGGATATTCTTATCTTTAGTAGTAATGAGCTCTTTAGGAACTCATATACTTCTAATGATTTTTCTATTAGAGGTTCTTTGGGGACCTCTATGATTGTAGTTTTTAAAACTTTTTCTAACAAAGTTGGATTTTGAATTTTCTCTATTTTCAAAACGTTTTGTTCTAACTTTATCAAAAGAAGTTTTAAGATCATCAATTTTCTTTTGATAATCATCATTAACCTTTGAAAGTAAATTTTGCAAATCCAAAATTTTCTTTTCAAAATCTTCTAGTTTGTTTCGCAAATCTTTGATTTTACTTTCAAGATCGTTATTGGTTTTGGATATGAGTTTATTTTCATTTTTTAATTTTGAAACATCATTTTTATATTTTAAAAACAATTTCTCATAATCCGAAGCCAACCCATTATATTCCTCTAAAAGCTTATCATAAGATAAATCATCAAAATCAGATGAATTAGAGGTTACCTTAGAATCTTCCCCGAATGCCATTAAGCACAAGTTTGCTACTTCTTGTTCCTCTGCATTGGAACCTTCTTCATCGCTCCATGTAGCCATATGAGCCTTGTGCTTATTCTTTGATTGACCCTTTCTATTCAATTGTGGGCAATCATATTTGACATACCCCGGCTTTTTGCATTCATAGCAAATGATCGGGTCCTTCTCATTTGGTTCATTTTTTGAAACCTTCATTTCGTTTGAATTTTCTTCCTCGGTAAGGTCTCATCATTTTTCTGAACTGTTTGGCAAACAATGCCATTTCCTCGTCATCGTCATCTTCATCCGAATCACTCTCATCTTTTATGGATTTGAGAGCAATTTCAATGTTTTTCTTCTTCTCCTTCTTATTTGGTGTCTCGTCAATCTTATCGAGGTCCACCTCATCTTCAAGCATCATTTCATGAGTGAGGAGAGAACTGATTAGCTCTTCAAGAGTTAAGGACTTTAGGGTCTTAGCCTCGATGATTGCCATCTTCTTGGGTTGCCATGATTTTGGAAGTGAGTAAACTAACTTTCTTACAAGCTTTTCGTTTGGAATGATCTCTCCATATGATTTGAGACCATTGACAATCGTTGAGAATATATCCGTCATAGCTTTGATATATTCATTTGGTTTCATCTTGAAATTTTCATAGCTATGTGTTAGAAGACTAATTTTAGATTATTTTACCTCGTCGGTGCCTTCATGAGTGACTTGTAGTTTATCCCATATTTCTTTGGCGGTTGTACAAGATGAAACTCTTCCATATTCATCTGGTCCAAGAGCACAAAATATGATATGGATGGCTTTGGAGTTGAGCTGTAATATTCTTGTCTCTCATTCACTCCACAATCTTGGATGAGTGAGAGGCTTGATATATCCGTCTTCTACAACATTCCATGCTCACATGTCACTGGCTTGAATGAAATATATCATCCTATTCTTCCAATAGGCATAGTTAGCTCCATTGAAGAAATGAGGCTTGTTAACGGGCATCGAATCGAGACCGGAGTCGACATTTGAAGTGGAGGCCATTGATGACTTTGATTATCGATGTAACTCTTCCCGAATCGACTCAAGAGGTGATTAAACCTTCAAATGAGTTAAGCTTTGATACCAATTGTTGAGTTAATCGATCGATGGAATCGACCAAGAGGGGGGTGAATTGACAATTAAAAATTTCGGTGGAAGCTTTTGCAGAAAATTGAAAAGATTTGCACAACGATTTAGAGTGGTTCGACTTTCTCAACCAAAGTCTATGTCCACTACCTTAGCTATCCACACTAAGAATTTTCCACATATTCACTAATTTGTCTTTCTTTTGAGGACAAAGAGTAACCTTACAAATCCCTAAAAAAATTTACCCCAAATTCTTGAGAACACTCTTTCCCAAAGAGAACAATACAAATTTTGCAAACTTACAAGAAAATCCTCACAAGGCAAGATGTTTGCACAATTCTAGAAAAAAGAAAGAACACTCAAGAATAATACAATTGAGCACAATAAGTGTTCTTGAAAGCAAAAATGAATATTGAATGAAATAGGCTTGAAAATGCTCAAACTTGAGGTTTGATGCTTTCTCTTTGATTCTCTCTTGATTCTTGTTGATTTTTTGTTTATTGTTATTGATCAATGACTTCTAAGCTTGTTTAAATACACCTTCAAATGATTCTGAACGTTGGGGATGATTAGTGGAGTCAATAGAGCCGTTTTAGTGTGAAATCAATTAATAAAACAACTTGGAGCGTGAGGGGAATCGGTACCCCCTCATGGGGAATCGGTTCCCTAAGTGTAAAATTCAAATATTTCGACCGTTGAACATGGGGGAATCGATATCCCCTTGGGGGGGAATTAGTTCCCTTTGAGCAATCTGAAATTTTTGGCTTTAAAATGGTTCGAAATATTTTTTAAAATTGTTTTGAAATTCTTTTAAGTTTAAAACTTAATTTTACACTTGAGTAAGGATTAAAAATGACATTTGAAAGATTTGGAGTAATATTTTGATATTCGAATAATTATATCGAATATACTTAGAAAATCTTTTGGAAAATCTTAAAATTCATTTATCTTAATTTGTTATATCGAAATATCAAAATGTTCTCAACAATTATAAATAATAAAATGACAGAATTTCTCGTCCATCTCAGTTGGTAGAGCGCAAGGCTCTTAACCTTGTGGTCGTGGGATCGTGTCCCACGGTGGGCAATTCATAATTCTGACTGCTGGAGGTCTTCCACGAAAGCTGCTCTCAATCTGGCCTTGGGGGCACCCTACTACCTTACCTCCTCCTCACCCTATTACATATGAGAATATGGTCAGCTAATTTTTTTATATATAATAAAATGACGTATGATTTATTCTAGTTTTGTATTTTACTAATAGTTAACTATCACATTTTTTTATAATATTTAAGAGTTCAATATTATGTACGAATCAAGTGACATCAGTGGTAAATAAATTGTTGCTATTATTTGAGGGTCTAAGTTCAAGCACCATGAATGTCAATAATGTAAACGTTCAATGTGAAATTGTTAAGAGTTATCTTTAAACAAATACTACCAGTTACATTCAAGTTTCTTAGGGGAAATGTGTATTTAAAGATGAAACTAACATCAAATATGAAAAAAATTATTTAATTTCAATAAATAAACATTTATTTAATTCTCGAGACATACGTGTACATGAAGACTAGATTAAACGAAAGTAATCGTCGAGACAGATAATACATGAGTGATTCATTATAATTGATCTTAGGGTCTGTTTGTTTGGCTGTAATTGATTTTCTAGAAAATCAATTATAGAAAATGAATTACATTTTCTGGAAAACGTTTTACGATGTTTGGAAGATGTTGTTTAAACTTTTTTTCCACTAGTTGATGAATTTTTTAAAAATTATTTATTATAAATATTAAATATAATAAATAATATTATTTACAATAAAACTTAATATAATTATTTTTAAAATATTAAAATAATTTATTTATTATTAAATATTATTTTTATAATTTTATAAATAAAAATATTAATATTGGTATATTTTATTGAAATAAAAATATTATAAATTATATTAATTATTTATTAAAGTAATAGTGTTATATTATATTTAAAAAAATATTAATTAGTATATTTTAAATATCTTTATTAAAATATTATTATATTAATATTAAATATATAAACAATATTATTCATTATTAATAAATTAATAATATTATTTCTATGAAATTAATAAATAATCTAAATTTGATTAATAATTTATTATATACTATTAAAATTAAAATATAAATATCTTATATTATTATAATATAATTGATTATTTTATTATAATATTAAAAATATAATATTATATTATTATAAATATTAATAAATATAATTTTAAATATTTTAATAATTAATATTTTGATTAAAATGATATTAAAATATTTTATTAATATTAAATTCATAAAATAAAATTATTTTGAGTATTTATTTTTTGAAGTGAAAAGTTCGGAAAATGATTTACGGAAAATCAGACCTTAAGTCATTTTTCAGAAAATACAAAGGAAATTATGTTGATCAGAAAAATGCTTTACGTTGACCAACCAGTTTTCCTCCAATCAAATACTGGAAAACATTTTCCGAAAAACGAACTACGTGAAACAAACAATGGTTATTGACTAACAAAATTAAAAAGATTTTGATGAGTTAATCAAGATTAAAATCGAATCATCACCATCTTAATTAGTTAATTTTTAGAGGTTAAAAGAACCATTAAAAAACTAAAAATATATTAATAGTAAATTTGAAAATATACACGAAATTGACACGACGTAGTTTTGTGAAGAAAACTAAGGTATATAACCAGCGGAGAAGATTCAAAGAATCTCAAAATCCATTGGATTCCAAAAAAATGGAAGATTTTTGGAAGCGCGCCAAATCCTTAGCTGAAGAAGCGGCGAAGAAATCTCAAACCCTAACAACGCCGAACAAAATCGCTGATATAGTCGCCGAAACGGCCAAGATGTCCAGGGAACTTGCTCTTGAAGCCTCCAAGAAAGCCGATGAATTCAAAACCACGGCTCTCCAGCAAGCCGATCAAATCCAATTCCAGAGCCTCTCGAAGTCCATTTCCGATATTATCCCTCCTCAACTCTCATCCCTCTCCGTTGCTGCTCCCGGTTCATATTTCTCGGATCCTCCGCCAATATACGATTCGGAACTCCGGAAGTTTGGTCTTACTGATGATTTGAGAGACTTCGTTAGAGGTTTCACTTCTAGTACTTTCCAGAACTTCCCATCCTCTGTCCAAGGTAATTACTTCATTCGATTATATATATAAAGAAAAATCAAAATTTAAAATTTAGTTTTTGAGTAGATGAACCGGAGCCGTCTGATGCGAGTGCTGCGGGGACCAATGTACGGAAGGATCTGAGTGAATGGCAAGAGAGGCATGCCACTCTTGTTCTTACTACTGTTGAGGTAAAAAGTTGCATATAAATTTTAGATTTTATGTTTCATAGCCTACCTTTGGCATTTCGATTGACGTTTTTAATTAAACCTGAACGAAAAAATGCTAAAAAAAGTAAAATTTGTGGTTAAAAGTTTGTTTTTAGATGAATTTTCGTGTAATTTTTATCATTTTAAATTTCAATTGCCATCGAAGTATGCAACAATCGTTTCGGATATTGTACTTTGATCATTAATAATTTATGTAAAACACAATTTTCTTATGCAGGAAATCAAGAAATTAAGATATGAATTGTGTCCGCGTGTGATGAAAGAAAGAAAATTTTGGAGGATATATTTCATTCTTGTTAGTACTCATGTAGGCCTGTAAGTGTTCGATTAGTATTATAATAGTGGTAATTTAGGATAAGGGATCAAATTACTATTTGATGTAAGGTATTTCTATTTTTAGTTATGAGAAGCTGTACATGGAGGAAGTTAAACAGAGAGCGAAGCAGGAGGGAGCAAAAGAGGACGAACCCAAGAAAACGGCCATAACTAAGACAGAGCAATCGGAATTTAGTCTGAAAAGTAAAACTTCGAGGGCATCTACCGAGCAAGATTTGGATACATTTTTGTTGGGAGATTTTGAAGATTGTGATGGTGGTGGTGGAGGTATGTTCGCTTCCATCAAAATTCTTGTGTTTAATTGCGGATATATAATATCGATGTACAATTTCTTGTTTCCTGCAGCTTTGATATTGTGAATTGCTTGCTTTTGAATATGTTGGTGACTTTTATCTTCAAGTTATATTTTCTAAAGGATGTTTTTCCTGAATCATGTTAAAGCTTGATTATGGATTGTGTAGCTTAACTTTCTTTAGCTGATTCAATGCAATATATTGATCTTGGAGGAGGTGTTTACATCCAGGATAAGTAAGATATGTGGCAAGCTTCATTGTTGATAGATAACCATTTGGGAAATGCTTTTGTTCAATTTTGTTCCATTTTGTTCCATTTTGTTAATTATTGGCACATCTTTCAGATGATGGTGATGATGGGAGCTTTGGTGATGATTTTGACAAGGTCGGAAATTCGGTAAGCTCGAATAACGTTTAAACTACCCCTTAATATAGTGGCTTAAGCAGCTCCCAAGAATGTTTCTGGTTGCATCCTCTGATCTTCAATATGTAACACCAAACATGCTAAATGTTGCCTCAATTCATTGATGTTTATAGCAAGGTTCTTTTTCGTTTCTTTAATTGGTCATAAATTGTAACATATGATTCCATATATGCAGGATGTTGAAGATGAGAAGAATGCAGAAGGAACCAACACTTAGCTGCTACATTGAGAAGACCACCGCAATGTCGAGAAGAAGACCGTCGAGGGGATAGCACGAGCAGTTGTTGGTTCCCAAAGTATGATCCGGTGGTTCGGAGTCCAGTAACAATGGTGTATGCTTACTTTATACTACAAGATATGTGATTTACTGTTTGTAAATATATCTAGCATTATATACAAAAAGCTGCCTTTGTATAAAGAATCTCATTCTATTAATGAAGTACTTGCTTATTTTTGGTTTAAATATTCTTGTTAATTTCAAAATTAGGTAAGTAAAATTTTGATCCTTAAGTTTAATTAATTTTTAAATTGATGCCTTAATAATTAGACCCTGACTTGACTTGTACAGGCCTACTGATTAATGGATTATTTGCGTTATTAGTCCCTCTCTAATATTGAACATTTAATTTAAGCCTTTTAACCATTTAATTAAGTGGAAAAATATACTTTTGACTCTTTCTAAAAGTTAATTATTGAATTTAAGTCCTTGAAAACGGTTTCTTTTAGTTTTGACCCCTCAAAATTTTTATAATTTTATCTTGTCCCCTCCATTAAATTCCCGACTTCTTATCCTTGCTAACCTCCAGTTTACTACTATTTGTATTTATGTGTTGAGTATATATGTGAACATTAATCTTATCAGGGGCTCATCTATCAGGCTCGGAGGTAAAATTAAATCCCAAGCGTAATATTGATAACAATCCTAAACTCGAGCAAAATTAAAGCCTAATCCTAACCCAAACTAGGTATAAACAAATATTCAGTCGAAATCCGCTTAACTCATTGCCCAAATATCATTGTTGGGATTATTACTAATACTTTTTTTGTGGTGGTTCGTTATCTTCTTAGAAATGAGACAATATTTGATTTTTTTTAAATGTACCGATTTTTGGATACGATAGAGGTATCCTGGCATTCTCAACGTGTAATTGACTCATAAATTCTAATTTTTTTATTTGATTTAATTGTAAAATTTACATTTTCTTAAAAAATAACCTTCAAAATATTTTAAAAATGATGTTTTTATGATTATTCGATCAATACGATCAATGCTGACATCATCTTTTAGAAATATGTTTTCAAGACAAAATAAATTTTTGAACCACATAAAACTATTTATGATAATATATATATGATTATTTATGCATAGTGAAGGACTAAAATGAAATAATGTAATATTCATTTTGAGAAGTAAAGCCAAGCATGCGTGCATGAAAGATACAAGTACATACAATTGCCTTGCCCAGCTGAAAGTTATTTCCAGAAAACAAAATTTAAAAACTTTAATAACGAGTGCATCAAAACCCTTAAGCAAGTATTTTTCATATATTGTTATAATTAAATACTTTGAAAACGATAATAAAAGAGAATAATCACAACTATTACCATGAAATGTTTATTGTTACAATAGCGTTTTGCGAATAAAACTTATTAAAAATTATGAATAGACATAATCATTTCTATGATTGTCTGGTATTAATTGTCGATTGTTACACGGCCTAAAGCGACCAATAACCTATCTGTCGGATAAAATATATAATTTGATCCGAATTTAATAAGTTTCAATTAAGATTATTTTTGGAAAAAATGATTTTGAGTGAGGTTGGAGTAGATTCGAGTTTATAGTGAAAAATATTAACTCGATTTGAGATAATATATAATATATTTTTCTTCTACATATTTAGGAATAATTGTTTTAATATTCATCTTTTTATAACTTTCTTTAATTAAGTCTTTATTTTATTGAATAAAAATGATTTTTATACTTGCGTCATGTCGGGTTGGAAACAATTTTTTTTTGAAATTTCTACTCACGTTTCAAATTGAAGGGACTTCCTTAAACTTATATCAGATCAAGTTCAGATGAAAAATGTATAATTCTCGAATCAGATAAGATTGAACTAAAACTCTATCCAATCTGACCCATGGTTGTCTATAATCGTCTTTTATATATATATATATATATATATGAAGAAATTAATCCTATATGGATAATATCACTTGTAATTTATGCATACACATAAATAAAATATGATACGGTTAATTTGAAGGTAACTATGATTCCAAATTTTGACGTAATTTTATATAAATTTTTCGTAATTTACTTTAATTATAATAAAATTTTTCTTTTTTATATGTAGTTTTTCTTATATATAATTTTTCAATTAAAATTGTTTATTCTTTTATTTACAATCATTTTCATTTAATCGCAGCTATCTTAATTATTATAAATACTGATGGTAAATAACTTAAGTGCTAAATTAATACTACTAGTAAATTCAGAAAACGATATATATAATAAATAGTTTTAAAGAAATATTGCTAAATACAATACCTCAAAGAATGTCAAGAATAATATTTTTTATTCATTGCATTTAAATCCAATTTATTAAATTAATAGACCAATTTAAACGAATCCAGAAAAGGCAAAAAATCCTCGTGATTTGTATAATCAACGTGTTAATGACTGGTTGATGTTTGACTCTTGAATTTTCCCTCACCATAATTCTGTGCATATAAACCAGCTTTCTGCAACAACTAGAAGAAAGAAGAAAACCCAGATTCATGCTGCCTTTTATGAGGTGAATTTCTCTTCTTTTTTAAACAATTTCATTTGTTTTTGGATGATACCCAGATTGTGTTGTTGTTTGTTATTTTAGAGAATTGAAAAAGCTAAGGAATATGGGTTATTGCGAGGCGAGTTTGGAGGAGACGGAGTGTGGAGAAGTGAAGGAGAAACCCTACAGAAGCAAGATGAGGTTGAAGTATTTAAGCATGGTGCAAGCTGAGAAGCTGAAGAGCTTAGCTCTCGCGAGGATTCGAGTGACTCGAGTCAAGTTGTGGGTGACTCGAGCCGTAAGCATCTTGCTGCTTTGGGCTATCGCCATGCAGTTGAGATCACTTGGAGAAATAGTTTCTTCATCAAGGAACCCTAAACCTACCTTATCTTCTCCTCTTCCCCCTGAAAGTACGTAAACCTCCTTACTTTTATGTATGTATGCATGCATGCTCTGAATTTTGTCATTTCTGTTGATGTATGTATGCATGCATGCATGTATATAGGATCATTAATATTTAGGAGGATAATTTATTCTTTTAACATGTATGATCTAAATTGTTCATACGATAGGTTTAAAAATGCTTTGCATTAAATTCGAGTTAAAATATTCTGAGATAATGGTTATACGGACCGATTCGAACTTTTCAGGAGTCTATGAGAACAATGGTTACCTGATGGTATCGTCAAATGGAGGATTGAACCAGATGCGATCTGGTGTAAGTAATCAATTTGATTGCTATCTATGTTGTTCCGGTTTCATTAATAATCAACTTGTTGTATACATATATGCAGATTTGTGATATGGTTACAGTTGCCAGATTCTTAAATGTCACCCTCATAGTTCCTGAATTAGATAATACATCGTTCTGGAATGATTACAGGTAAATTCATTCACTTTTTCATTGAATTAAACTATGAATATCTGGTGTTTTTAATGGATCGATTTCATTTCTGATGAAGAAATTCCAATTGTTTTTCCCCCTTTGAAATTGCAGTCAATTTGCAGATATATTTGATGTAGAGTATTTTATTTCTTCACTGAGAGATGAAGTTCGGATATTGAAAGAGCTACCTCCTGCGGAAAAGCAGAAAGTTGCTGAATCAGTGTTCTCAATGCCACCAATCAGCTGGTCTAACATGACATATTACTATCATGTGGTAGGCTTCCGTACACACATAGGGCTTTAAACGAACATAGCGAATGAACTCTTAGTGAACAGTTCATATAACGTTTGTTTACTAAGCTAAATAAATGAGCATGAACAAAATTTTTATGTTCATTTAATAAACGAACGAATACAAATATAAATGCATTCGATTTGTTTATGTCCACTAATAATCTCGTTTATAGCTTATTTATAAGTTCATTTATCAACTCGTTTACCTGGTTCTCTTTTCTACTTTTTTTTTACATTTTAAATATTGATGAAGATAAAGACTAAATTGAATACAGGGTGAACTTTTAAGTTTAATTTGTGAAGCCTAAGGAAATTAAGGACTTGTGGTGTAATTACACCATTTCTCTTTGGCTTGCTAATAAAAAGATAAAAAGAACAAATATGTCAGATGTAAATAATATGTTCGGTGAACGGTTAAATGAATTGAATATGAATAACTTTAAAAATAAACAAACGAACATAAACACTTTCAAAAATAAATAAATGAACATGAATAAAACATTTTTCGTAGAATCGCGGTTTAGTTAATTACACCTCTCTCTCTCTCTCTCTATATATATATATATATTGTTAAATTCGTTTTGTTAAATATGATATAGTTACGCGCAGATTCTTCCCCGGATTCAAACGCACCAAGTGGTGCATTTCCAAAAAACAGATGCAAGGCTGGCTAACAATGGACTCCCCGAAGAGGTGCAAAAGTTACGTTGCCGAGTAAACTACGAGGCACTGAGGTTCGCACCTCCCATACAAGCGTTGGCCGAGAAGATTGTTCGAATCCTAAGAGAAAAAGGTCCTTTCTTAGTTCTTCATCTCAGATACGAAATGGATATGATTGCTTTCTCCGGATGTAACGAAGGCTGCAACGAACAAGAGATCGACGAATTAACGAAAATGAGGTAAAGAAAATAGCTACCGTTCAAGCATCGTGCTAATAACGCGAAGGTATAATATTCTTCGTCGCGTTATTAGGATGTTGCTCTAATAAGATTAAAGTGAATTCAATCATTAATCATTACGATAATGTGAATATCAGATATGCATATCCATGGTGGAAAGAAAAGGTAATAGATTCGGAGAAGAAGAGACTGGCTGGTTTATGCCCTTTGACTCCTGAGGAAACAGCACTAACATTACAGGCATTAGGTATTGACCGCAATATCCAAGTTTATATAGCTGCTGGAGATATATATGGAGGAGAAAGAAGACTGGCAACGCTTAGAGCAGCTTATCCCAATTTGGTTAGTTAATAGCTGAACTTTTCTTGAGACGGAAGTAAACAATTAGTTCAAATCGGGTTTAATCATGTTCGTTTTCGCAACTTGTATGACTAGTTTGGCATCAGGTTGAAACTTACTTGGTGATTTGTAATACAGGTGAAGAAGGAAACATTACTGCCATCTTCAGAGCTTGAACCTTTCAGGAACCATTCAAATCAGATGGCAGCATTGGATTATTATGTGGCAGTGGAAAG